AATCCAGTCAAACAAAGAGCGTTTTACTTGGATCCATAACAATCTGACTCACATTCTGTGATGAAAATATTTATTATTTCCTAATGTCAATAAAATGAGTTGAGTTTTGTTTGTTTGTAATTAAGCACAAAGCTACACAGTGGGTCATCTATGCTCTACCCACCACGGGTATCGAAACCCGGATTCTAGGGTTGACTTTAACAACTCGTAGATGGCAGCACATTATGGCACTAAAACTCTTGAGACAAAGCTAGTGGATGTGGTTCATGTAGGTTAACTAGGTAATGTAGCACGAAACAGAGACAGTTTATTTGTAGTTACTCGTGTATGTGACGATGTGTAATGTTGATATATATCTTTATATCTACATGTTAAAATAAATATATCTGTGTGATGTTGTACACATGTATGGATGTTACACAAAGTCATCCACGAGCGTTATGTAATACAGTGGATCAAATACACCGAGAACACAATTATCAAACAACATATGAATGAAAATAAATTATTTATTCTGGAAATTAAGAATTTGAGGTGTGAAGTTAACTCTGATTACTGGCCCGTAAAGCATTATCTTAAAATACAGAATACTTAATATTTTTGTTATTGCTGTTTAGCGATTTTTTCAGTTTTTACATCGAAATATTGTATCTGAAAGGAAATGAGATGTTAGTGTTAACGAATTTTTTTCGTCATAAAAAGAAGGCTAGCACCCATGTGGTAGCTGAAATATTTTGGTTACTTGTGTAGAAATCCAAATTTACGGTCTTGCCCTTCATTTCCTTCCTACCAGTCCCGGATCTCTGTTTCCTTAACAACTAGATAGTAGTGCAGGAAATGTTTCTGTACTCCAAAATAGCTGTGATCTGTTGTCATGGGAATAGTACTCGTGAAAAGCGTAGCTAAATGTAGATCAAATGTGAGACCCAATGAAGTCTGGGGACTAGGATGTTCACAGATTAAAAGGACATACCTTCTACAGGTGGTATACACTACACCTGAATATATGTAGGTTAATAGAAATATCACTTGACAATGGCAATAATTTTTACACTTTGTCACAAAGAGAAATTTTAGAACAGATGATTGTTGTATCTAGGCTATTACAATTTAGATTTAAACTTTTAGCCAATATTTTGACCCTTCTTAACCCTTCTAGCTATCTTTTTTAAATAGTCTTTTAGTTTTAAGTTTTTATTTGTATGGTTCTCAGACTCAAGAAGCCACTAGCTAAACAAGAATAGTAAGTATATTGAGAATTACTTGTTTTGAGATCTTCCCAAAGTCTCTCACTACTCAGTGGTTCTCAAGACTCCAGGTGTTGACCTTATGTTTGGCCAGCAAGAGTCAAAGCCAACAGATAAATATGAGCCACTTGCTAACTCGTTTGACATGTGAACTCTGATTAAAGCCATTGATGGCCTAACCCTAAAGTCTGCAGGAGACCTAACACCTCAGACTACCAGCAAACAGACTGCAATATAGCTCTAACTGGTTAGATATCTGTAGTGACTGCACTGCCAACCAACATCCCTTCCCCATTTGAGCCTACTTTACCAGCAACCTATCTGATTCCATTGGATTCCATGGCGATCACTGTTCAGCCAAAGCCAACTGAGTCCGTAGGAGCTCATCCCAGATTCCTGAAGTGTCCAATCAGTAAGTGGCAAGTGGAGAAGTGGCCCCATCATCTGATGTGGATCCACCTGCACTGAGAGTAACCCATACGCAAATCTAAAGAACCTTCCAGGAACTCAGGTTCTCAAAGAGTTCCTCCAGGTGTCAGAAAGGTCTGAACATTTCTGACACTCTCTAACCAGCAAAGACGTTTCTACCTTCAGTAGAAGGAACTCTTATAGCATCGAACATCTATATGGCAATGTGCATATCAACCATCGTACAACTACATGTCTAAAAGTCCCAGACACAGCCTGTAAGACTAGGGAAAGTAGATCTGCCAATAATATCTCCAACAGAATTTAAAGAACCTCTTAAACTTCAGCAGATTCTGGCATTAAAGTGCCACTGCCAAGGACAAGCCAGCTGGATAAAGGCCTGAACATTTTTTATCCACTATAAAGACGGTCTTCTTAATAATAAGGAATTGCCTTCACAGCTTGACGAAGAAGAGGTACACCATCTTTGAGTTAATTTGGTGTATACTCAAAAGGTTGTTGCAAGAGCCCAATAGAGGATCCTCCAAAGACCATGGATTGATGACAGTCTATCACTACGCTGGAAGATCTAATATTGTGGCTACGTAATGATAGGAAGCTTTAAATTCTTCAGCTAATGCATATATGTATTTATCGTAAATTTATCATATTCTTCTCATCATTTATTATTGTTGGTGTTTTATTCATTTTCATGCTTGTATATATGTAAATGTGTACATAAGGGTAACTTTCATCATTATTTCTAATTATTTCTGTGTGGTTTAAAATTCATGGATGTGTCTCTAAATCTTAAGAGTCTTTTCGTGGTATGTTTTATTATTATAAATATTTTGGTTGTTTACTTTAATGTAATTTAAAGAGCTTAATCTTGTATTGTATGTTTTTTATTTTAATGTATAATGCAATGATTTGAATAGTTTTATATTTTATGTTTACAATTTGAAGAGTTTGCTTTGAATGCTGAGTTTGACACGTGTAATTTTGTGTTTTTGTAATATTAAAAGTTTTTATTTATACTTTGTGTGTAACTTCGACTTTTGATTGTACTATTATTAAATTTCTTGTTGCGATTTGGGTTAGTTAACGAGGGCAGCACATGTACTCTCTTTTGTAAAGATTGATGTGATAGCGCATTCTGTTTAGAAAGCAATAACAATCTAATATCTGTGTAATGTTCATGTTTTATTGTGTATTAGGTGAAATAAGTGGCATATTCAATGGTAAATGTTTTAAGAATTTTGTGAGTCGTAATATGAATCCCTGTGATATAATTACAATTGAACATAATATAGGTTATATATAGTGACCTTTATTGAGAGAGAGGGTGGCTTGAGTTACAAAATATTTGATACATTTTTCTACTCGACATTTGGCTCATTTTTACACTCCTCACGAACAAGAAACACCAGTGATATCGGAACACTGTTTCTGAAAGAATGCTGTGAAAGTTAGATTCTCCGTATCTGTTGATTACACACGCATTTTACATTGTTAAAACTGAATTATATTGTTGTTTCTTGATAAGATTTTTGTCGATATATTACCTACTGAAAGCAAATTGAATGGGAGATGCAACAAATATCGGGAAGAAACATAGTGATGCTCATGATTTCAAAGGAGGAAAACTTATTGCAAACTACAGTCAATATGCTTATTAAACACATAAATCCAAACTTATAATGGTGTCATCAAGTTGTTTAGCTCTTATTCATATTAACAGGGAGTGTATCATATGAGTACACATGTAAGGGGTCTTCATACTGCAGCCTGCTTGAGCAGCAGTTAGGAGAAGCAGCACAGCTGCTTTCCAAGAAACCTGCCGCTTGGAGCGCTGTAATTTGCCTTATTACACTTTTCGAACTGAGTGGATCGTCTTTGGAGAACACACAACATATAAGGTCGCTAGCAATGTATGCATATTACCTTGCTAGCACGATCATTCATCGTCTATGATTTACTATTTAGCTTATAAAAAGAATGAATAGGCTACTCTTTTTGGTAATAATGACTTCAATTTACAATAATTTTGGTAATAATGATTTCAATTTACAATAATTTTGGTAATAATGATTTCAATTTACAATAATTTTTAGCAAAAGCTATAGAATATACAATACTTAGTTTAAACTATTCACCTGTTGTTGTTTTTCATTACAAGGTGCGAGACTAGAATGAGCCTTAGACTTATGAGGAATCAAAATTATTTACAAAATGAAATTTTCTAGACATTCACATTTGATTTCAGCTTGACTATGGCCACGCCCTCATCCCAAGAGACTTCGTGCCTCCAGTAGAACAGTCCATTGGACCAATCAAGTCATTTGCACATGGAGTTCGTGCAGATTCTGTGGTTATTAAAGATAGCAAGACTATCTATCTGTCCAACTTTTACTATGACGGCTCCGCCCCAGGTATGATACCTATCTAAGACAAACCACTTGATGGAATTCTCTAATTAACAGTCATTATGAAAGTAACAATGAATATCAATATCTCATGGTGAGTACTAATGTGCAAGTAGTAATTAGAACAATCCAAGTTAAGAAGAGGCACCTGTTAAAAAACAACACACAAAAATATACAATAATTATGAAATTATCTAATAATGAATAGTATAGCAACGGAAACAATTGCAAACATCTTTAATGAATGTTTAGGAAATACACATATTCAATATTCAGCAAATCTATGAAAATGACAAATTAAATTATCCATGGTGATAATCATGATCATCATAAGAATTCTTTGGTTATGCAGTTACACGTATATGCATATTTACTGAACGTATTGACTTTGCAGTGTTTTGCTTATATACACATTACTATCTTTTGGTTCTCTCTGACGGTTGGTGGCTGGGTGGAAAATAGTTTGAAAATATAAACAAAATTTTTTGGACCCCCCCCCAAAAAAAAGGGTTACCCATATTTAAATTCACCAATTAAGCATTTTTATGAAAATTATGTTTTAACTTGAATTGGATTATCTTATAGTTTTGAAGCTGTGTCTTTACCTAAATAAATAAATGAATAATTAAGGCAAATATTTCATATTTCAATTGGAGCATTTTGCTTTGCTATTTTACATTAGAATTAACTTTGATGATTGATGTAGTGCTATGCGACTTTGAGAACGATACAATGATAAACCGTATAGAAAATGTGAGGTAATCTAAATGTTGGGTATTTGAAATGGCGTTAAGTTTTTGTTATTATAGAAAGTACCAATATTTATAGTTATATCATTTTAATAAAAATTATTAACAATCGTAATTATTTTTTCACATACCTCGAGGAGTAGAAGGGTACAGTAGTTGTTTATGATATGTTTGACAAAACTAATTACATTTAGACGAACGACTAAAAGGGTACAGTAGTTGTTTATGATATGTTTGACAAAACTAATTACATTTAGACGAACGACTTCAAAGAGTTCCGATGAAATGTCGATTAAAATGATCCAGAGACTTAAAAGTTTTTAGAAGTATCAAATAGTTGAGTTTTCTAAAAGCTCCATAATGAAGTAAACAAACTACTTAAACTGATGTGAATCTATTATAAAACATTATATTTATCCCGATGTCGTTCGTTAAGTAACTGATGTGAATCTATTATAAAACATTATATTCATCCCGATGTCGTTCGTTAAGTAACTGATGTGAATCTATTATAAAACATTATATTCATCCCGATGTCGTTCGTTAAGTAACTGATGTGAATCTATTATAAAACATTATATTCATCCCGATGTCATTCGTTCAGTAACTGATGTGAATCTATTATAAAATATTATATTCATCCCGATGTCGTTCGTTAAGTAACTGATGTGAATCTATTATTAAACATTATATTTATCCCGATGTCGTTCGTTAAGTAGCTGATGTGAATCTATTATAAAACATTATATTTATCCCGATGTCGTTCGTTAAGTAACTGATGTGAATCTATTATAAAACATTATATTCATCCCGATGTCGTTCGTTAAGTAGCTGATGTGAATCTATTATAAAACATTATATTCATCCCGATGTCGTTCGTTAAGTATTTAACTTACATTAAGTTGTGTTTTCATTGGAACCCATGTATGATTTCTGAAAGCTATATACTTGTATATTTTTAAAGGTAGTAATGCTAAAAGCAGTTCAGTTTTATTTTCTTATCGCATTCTCTTATAAGCGTCCCTAATATTAAATAAGCTCGGTAGGTGACTTTCTACACGTCATAGATCTTACAGTTTTGAATGATTATCTGAAGAAGTTATGTGAATTTATTTTGTTTTACATCTTCTAAGGCCCTGTAGAATTTTTATGCAAATAAATATCTTCAATTATAAAAGATATAACTGCACAAATATTTTAGAAAAGATATCGAGATTTAACATGTAAACTAATTTAGGTTACATGCTTAATCACCAATAGATTAATTTATGTAGACTTTTTAAAGTTTGTTTGTTTGTTTAAGTGCTTCGTCACAAGGTCGCACAATGAGTTGTTTGAGATGTGCTCACCACTTCCGAACCTCAGATTTTAGCGCTATAAGCTCTCAAGCATACTGCTAAATCAACGGAGGGCGAATGTTGAATGAATTATTATCATTATTAATGCATTTCTGTGTTATCTCCAAAGAGAGAGATTTTATATTATTTAATCCTTTTATCATTACATTCTTCTTACTATTCGATTTCCGTGATTTATTTTCTATCTAGATACCTATTTTTTAGTGGGCAGTGGAAAGCCGAATGGTGGTGGAACCAAAGTACCCGATGAAACAGGAAGGTAGGTCAAGTAACTAAAAAAGGTTTCAATAAACGTCTCTGTTTCAGGGAATACTTGATTCATAAATTATTTCTATCTTAATTGCTTTAAACCTCTTCACTTTATTTAATTAAATTTTCGGAATAAAACTGTTAGAATAAAGATGAATTAAATAATATCGAATTAAACACACTAAACAACTAAATTTTTTATATTCTAGTGCTAAATCAACATCGTTTTAGAAATGTAACTTATTTATACTTTAGTAGGTCTATCATATATGATTACTATCGTGTTTTATTGCAAGTAGTTTTGATATATTCCTCTCACTTAGCCCATTGTGGAATTACAGTTAAGTGTGTGTGAGTGAGTAAAAAATAACATTTCACACCTACTTTTTATCTGCCATGAGTCATAGCTCAGACTACCACTTCTTCAGTACTGAAGATCATTAGCATGGCTGAATCAAGGTCAATCAAATGATATTTATAAGCTGTTAAAAACAGTGTTGTTTAAAAACTGTGAGTCTAGCAAAGCCAATAAACTGCTAAGCATAATGTTTGTAATGATAAGATGTTTTTGACATGTTCCTTTTAATTAGTTCGTTGCGAATTATAAACCAGTTTCATGTTTCGTTTATAATTTCAGACGGTTTTATTCAACTTTTAATTATTAGCTTGATGTATATAAGTTCCTATAATAAGTTTAAAGTACAGTAGACTAGTTATCAAAGATTAAGCAAAAACAAAAATCAAACATAAATATATTAAGAACTTGGCACTGCAGTAATGTTTTTAAAAATAAATATCCTTCTAGCTTATCTAAAATTAAGGGTTACAATGGGAAGAACGTCAGCCTTCGACTGCCAGGTACGTTAACTGTGTTTGACATCAACTGGCTAAGTATCTACTGCATCCTTGCCTCGGAGAGCTTTGGACAAGTGGATATCCCTGATCGCCAAAATCTCAATGTACCCGCAGACCTGAAGGAACTAAAAGATGTTGTTAGTATAAATATGTCTCCTAAATCTGGTTTTCTAACAGAATATGATAGACAAAGTTGTTTTAACGACTTACATAAAAATAATTATACAGAAATACTAAATTTATAACAATAGATTTTTAAGAAATATTGGACATATACTAAAAGTTACCATAAAAAGAGTTATATAGAAATAAAGTGACAGAAAAAAAAGACTTCCACAGAAAAATTGTACTTATACAAATAAACTAACACGGAGATACTTCCATAAAAATATTAGGCTTATACAAATAAACTATCGTACAAAGACTTCCCCAGTGCCAATGTATAAATGATTCCCAGAGGAAGATTTCTACAGAACTACTAAACTTGTACAAATAAACTAGCACTTGAAGACTGTCGTATCATAATTAACTTGTAGATCACCAGAGAAAGACTTCTAGAGAATTATTATACCTGAATAAATAAATTACCACAGAAAGACTTCCATACAGATACTATTATGACACAAATAAAGTAACAGAGAAAGACTTCCATACAGATACTATTATGACACAAATAAAGTAACAGAGAAAGACTTCCATACATATACTATTATGACACAAATAAAGTAACAGAGAAAGACTTCCATACAGATACTATTATGACACAAATAAAGTGACAGAGAAAGACTTCCTTAGAAATACTAGTCATGCTCAGAAATATATGATTTTAAAAAATATACCACCAGAGAGAGTTGTTCACTGGTGAACTGAATTTATTCATACATTCGCGTAGAAAGTGTCCCATGAAAATATTCATAAATCAACTACCACAACAAACTTTTCTAGAAATACTCGTTTACTTATAAATAAATTAGGAAATAATTACTTTTATAGATTGTTTGTTTTGTTGAATTTCGCCCAAAACTGCACGAGAGTTATCTATGTTAAACGTCCGTAATTTAGAAGTGATAGACTAAAGGGAAAGCATCTCGTGAACACTGCTCATCGTCAACTCTTGGAACTATGCAAATCAACAAATGTAGAGAGACTTAAAGGTACGTTACATTGTTGGAATATTCATGAGAGCACTATGACAAAGAGTAGTCTCTATGGTAGATCAAATAATAATCAGGGTGGACTATAGGGAACAATAGAGTAAACGGAACTACAAGTAACACAACCTTTCGTAAGCTTTGTTGCGTTAGCATGATCACTGAACAAGTTTAACATTACAAATGTTTAAACTGTTCCATACAGTTACTAATGCTTGTGAGATAACTATCCACAACTGACATACAAGAGGATTAGTATCATTGTTATTTTTAATGGTCCGCACTATATTTATAAGTACTTTCTGTACGACTCCTGCATTGAAACCATTGGATAATATAGTAGTAATTGGTTGGCATATCAGAGATGAGAAAATAAACTTACTTGTACAGTTTTATAGCTAATCGACCACGTACCTCAATATACGCAATAATTCGCACTGGTCAAAATACTTTATTGAAACTGCACGCTTAAAAAAAAAAATACTCAATACTAATTAGCTGTTCACCACTCTTTAACTATCTGTCTGATCGTATTTATATCTCTAGTCTAGTTTCTAAACACTTCGTAAAGTTTCTCGATCACTAATATTTTATGACTTACTTGATTTTAACGCGATGCGCTCTCTAGCCAGCATCTGAATTAAAATATTAAAAATATAGTATACAACAATGTGAAATCTCTTGAACAATCCTCATACAAAAATAAAACTCCTCTAAACCGTCTATTCACCACGTCTTTGTTTGGCAGTTTTGTCTTCTGAGACCCATGTTATATAGATGGAATGGCTTCTTGTCTCTTGTTGTCACTGACTGTCCTCTCGTTGGGGTAGTCCTTCCTAGGTAGGTGAGTGAGTGAATTCATTGGCAGTTACACCCATTATCATTTTCCAGAAGTGATCTCGACAGGAACTCTGGGCTTTTCAAAAGGTTGAGTTTTTGCTGACAAATTCTTCTCTGGAGTTTCTCAGTTTGCCGTTCTCCCAATGAGATACTTCCATATACATTCACGTGGGTGACCTTTGACTTGGAATCTGAATTCTGTAGTTCACATCATTGATTCTTTTTAATACAACATTTAGGCCTTTCGAGTACCTACTTAACTTTTGAGTTTGTATCTTCTGTGACAAGATCTGTTCAACCATACCATATCACCTTTATGAAATCCAGTTTTATCATCATAGTGACCTTTCGTTTTTTCATAAATAGATTTAAAACTTCCATGGGTAAAGTTATGTCCGACATATTTATTCTTCACATCCACAATAACTAATCACCTATTCTCACTGGAAATTCAACACCTGATGTAATAATTGCCATGTAGCATATAAGAATATTCTGATAATAGACTTTGAAGCCACTTGAAGCTAACTTAACCTCGCATACATATCCAGCATGAAGTTAGTTCCCAATATATACTCTTTCTCAATGTCAATTACTCACAGATCAGGAAGTTGAGGGAAGCTTCCTACAGTATAAGTAATTTCCAATTTCCATAGTGCTGGAACTTTGTTGGAATATACTACTGATGTATCGCCTTTATAAGTAGTGTTTCAAGAACACCAATCCTTTTGAAAGAATTGTAGCTAAGCTTTGAAATTCAACTACTAAAACAATTCCACTAATATTTGACTTGATTCCATAAGCTACAGTATAATGCCACAGCTAAATCCATGCATGATTTTGGTATTTCATGTTCTTTAACGTTTTGAATTGCTGTAACGTCACGTGAAAATTCAAAACTTGGCTGTAATCAGGAGTAACTCAAATCATCTCCAAATTTCAATAAGGCACAGTCCACTAATGTAAAAAAATTCGATTTTGAGCAGTTGTTGTGCAACAGTGTTTGGCACATTCTCAGATTTATGACTAGAAGAGCACATTGTTCGTCTGGAAACAATATCCCGTATTTCTGGAACAACTGATAAAATACTTCTGCCAGTTTTTATGACATCTTCAAAACTATTTTGTCTATATTGAAAAGGGTTTACCTGCGACTAAGTTACAAATAATAACAATTCTCGTAGTTGAACTGTAAATTAGCTGGCTGACCTGATTGTTTTCTGTACAAGCACCTCATACTAAACTGCTAAAGAAATTAAAAATCTGTATGATGTTAGCTCGCCTGCTAAATGTTGCCAACATACCTTTTGTTTGGCAGCTTAAACTTTTATATCTTCATGTATAGAATCTCATGTAATGTCAGAAAGAGGTTTGAAAATCATATTGAGCTTCTCTGCTAGTTGTTACTATAAAAATAGTATACAACCTTAGAAAAAAGTTATTGACCAGTTGCAAAGATTTGCAGCATAACCCAATACAAGTCTCAAAGAATGAAAGCTATAAGGACCGAAAACTACCATTTTGTTGAAGTTCCAGAACCTAGGCTACACATTCTTGTGTTCGCCTCTTATATTTACGCCTTTAATACCCCTGCTCTCAGCAATCTTTAAATGATATATCATGTATCGCAAGCTCTTTCAGAACGATTTTTGATAGAGCATAGGCTGAGATCTTTTCGACAATAATGAAGGAAATAAAATTCTCCTCAAAATGTACCTCCATTCATTAGATAATTGCTTCCCATATGCCCAGAGGCAAGTCTATGGGATTTTAACGCTAAAACTTGTAGCTTTCTGCTTAATAATAATAAACATCCGATAATTATTATTTCTACATACCGATAGCTGCTCTTGATAACATACATCAGAGATACAGTCCACCATTGTAGAACAGTATTTCATACGTTTCATTTTTAGAATTGAATTAATGGCTTACTTTGAAAACACCTGTCTTAAATATTCTAGCGTCAGGGGCTCGGATAATGACCACTGTTTTTGCTTTTTATGAACCTACCGAAATGTTTATTCATTATGGGATCAAACCTGTTTTTTTCAAATACACTCCATCTAACAAATTTCCGTTTCCGAAGTGATTTAACCTATTAATAGTTCCACGAAAAGTATCATTGTTCTCCACATTTATCCTATTAAATACGCCTGTTAAATGCTTCCATTCACTGAACTATCTGGAATTCGTTTTCAACTTGATTTGTTTGTTTCTTTGTTGAATTTCACACAAATATACTCCAGCGTAGCGGTCCTTAATTTAAAAATGATAGATCAGAGGAAAAGTAGTTAGTAAACACCACCCACTCTTTGGCTACTCTAATTGAACAGTGGGATCAACTCCCACTTTAGGACACCCCAAGGCTGAAGGGGCGAGCATGAACCCACGACCTGCAAAATGCATATGTAAACTGCTTTTCTCATGAGATTATAGAGTTTTTTTGAATATTGAGAAACGAAAGCCTTCATCAGTTGTCCGCATTAAATTGCCAAACACTACAAAAAACAAAAAACAACAACAACAGAACACTGCGTTTAGTTTTAAATATTACATCCCTCACTGATGTGGCACTTTTTTCCATATTTATCGTTTCGCGAAAACAATTATCTTCTAACAGTTGTTTTCTAGACTGAAGTGGAGACATAAATGCCCTTAATTTGTACAGATATATATTTTACTAACATAATCCTTATTCGGTCGTCCATATTTTGTGGTCATGAATCAGTATCTGTAATGGCGAATTTGGTAATGCGTTATTATATTATTTTACTGTTCGGTAATATATTATTATCTTCTTTTATTGTTCGGTAACATAGTATTATCTTCTTTTATTGTTCGGTAATATATTATTATCTTCGTTTATTGTTCGGTAATATATTATTATCTTCGTTTATTGTTCGGTAATATATTATTATCTTCTTTTATTGTTCGGTAATATATTATTATCTTCTTTTATTGTTCGGTAACATATTATTATCTTCTTTTATTGTTCGGTAACATATTATTATCTTCGTTTATTGTTCGGTAATATATTATTATCTTCGTTTATTGTTCGGTAATATATTATTATCTTCTTTTATTGTTCGATAATATATTATTATCTTCTTTTATTGTTCGGTAATATATTATTATCTTCTTTTATTGTTCGGTAATATATTATTATCTTCGATTTTTGCTGTTGTTTTAATCTGGTATATGTAGAATGCACGTGAGAAAATATTTTTCAGGATCCTGAAGTATCTATTTTTCACCAATTTTGTATTCCGTAAGAATTTTTTAAATTTTTCTAACAATAACAAGATTGTTATAATTTACATATTTATATTTATTTGTACTTAAATGACATTTTTCTGTTTTATGGCGTTCAGTCCCTCAACTTCAAAAACTGTGAAGAGCTATTTCCTGGTTTGATGCAAGTCAGTTGGATTATGGAAGGAGAGAGCATAATTATTCAACTAGAAGGGAAAGTTGGTAGGTGGATTTGGATCCCTTATTTTGACTGAAATAGTTTGTTTTATTATCATTTTGCAAAGTGTAGTTCCAATCAATGAACATTTTTTCTTAAAATCCCTTTAGACGTGAAGTGTATACAGATTATAAAACTCAAACGTCGTGGCTTTTCTCAATTTACTCAATTTAATGATTAGCAGAATACTAATAAAACTATCAGTGCCATTTTGAATGTCAGAGTACTTTCTTTGAAAAAACAAGCTTGATATGTTCATTTCTATTGTTAAGAAGATATTATGAATCTTTTGTCAAACACAAGCAGTTATGAAGTTTGTCAGGTAGCTCGTTTAATTTCAATGATATTCTACTTTTTGGTTCACATAGAACTAAGCTATTTGGTCAGGTTAGTATAACAAAGAAAACTAATAACTTTAACTTTTTTTAACATTTCTATTGTTAAGAAGATATTATGAATCTTTTGTCAAACACAAGCAGTTATGAAGTTTGTCAGGTAGCTCGTTTAATTTCAATGATATTCTACTTTTTGGTTCACATAGAACTAAGCTATTTGGTCAGGTTAGTATAACAAAGAAAACTAATAACTTTAACTTTTTTTCCTGTAGGCGAAAACGAATACCTTGCATTTGGACGAAGCGGAAATGAAGACAAAGTGGAAATGACTGGTGCTGACGTAATTCTCGCTTTTTATGACAAAGAAAAATCTATGGCTCGGGTTGTGGATTACTTTATAAACAGTAAATCTCAGGTAATTTAAAGTAAAAAAAGATACTACGTAAAATTAAATTGGAATGTGCTAAAACCAATTCATGTTATAAAAGTGATTTTTTGTTTAATTCAGAAATAAATTGTCTGTATCATTGTTGTTCTTGTTGGTACCAAGCTAAAAATGAACCTGAGATACGCAGCTATATAGCTAAAGGTAAAGTATTGATAAAGAGAACAGTAATCTATGAATAACAAAATAGCTACATATCTATCTGTGCGTTTTAGTACGTCTTTAATTATCACTTAAAACAGGTGTAGTGATTTTTAGGTATGGGATCAACAGTACGCCCCCAGTAGCACAGCGGACTTACAACGCTAGAAACCGGGTTTCCATACCCGTGGTGGGCAGAGCACAGACAGCCCATTGTGTACCTTTGTGCACAACTACAAACAAACAAACAATCCTTCGTTTAATTAAATATTCTTGTCAACTTGTGAATAGTAGTGACGTTTATAAACAATGTGTGCAGTATATAAATTACATATACAATTTAACTTACATTGTAAACATTTCTTCATAAAAAAATAAATTACAAAGTTACACTTAACGCTTCAATAGGCGGACATATATTAAACTACAGATCAGAGGAAAGACAGCTAGTCAGCAGTATATCAACTGTCACATGGACTTTGTCCAGTTTCGAACCGAATTAAGGGATTGCTGTCAGTCTTACAATATACACACAGCTAAAAGTGGAGGGCTTGTTTAGCGGTATCGCAGTGCGAACCTTGCATCTTTCGCTCTGCCCCCGGCTAACCAGTAGGCTACAACCGCTGATTCTTTAGTACACTGGAAAAGTGTTTGTTTGTAGTTAAGCACACAGCTACACAATGGGCTATCCGTGCTCTGTCCACCATGGGTATCGAAACCCGGATTCTAGCGTTTGTAAGTCCGCAGACATATCGCTGTGCCACTGAGGGGGGGGGGGGCTGGAAGAGTGACACATTATCATGATTACATACGAATAGACATTTACAGGGTTCAATTTTTTTCTATGACATATTTCTAAAAACACCGAATTTTAAAGGAGTATACACTTATAAGTATAGTTTTCAATGTTTCGGTTTAGAACGTTTCATATTCATACCAAAATAACCGCTTATATTTTATTCACAAGGCTAGTTCTTCCATTTATAATAAATAAAATGTACTTCTCATAAACTGGTATAAAATTACTAAGCACCTAATCATGCATATACCAGAGCAGCTAATTTATGTAAAACGTGGCATCATTTTAAGATCCCTGAGGTCGGTAAAGTGATCAATGGCTCATCTCATTGGAAGTGCTGTCGAAACTTTGATTTTATGAACTTATTAGTAGCTGGTGGCGACGATACTTTATTAATATATAAACTTAGAGCATTTTGATATTTCTGTAGCATACAGACAGTTCGTAAAATATTATGGAGAAATCACCTGGTTTTATTCAACGTTGAATATAGGTTTGGGAATTTGGATAATAGTATGGGAAGACATCACCCAACGCGATCCATTATTTACCCTTAGATAATTCCAAACCCAATATGCCACGACTCATGTAGCAAGATATGATGGACTCTGGTTCATTTGTACGTCACTATAATACAAAATGTGATAAACATGCAGGAATCAATAAATCGTTATGTCGAATCCACTTTCATAAAGTATGCCTTGATAAGTGAAGAAGTTATTGTTACTGGTTCTGGGACGTTTTTAAATTTAGATATTTCATATAAGAGTGAATTGCTACATTGTTTGCCAACTGTTTCCTGAAGAGATACCAGAGGGCATTTTTTGTGTGATTTTCTTGATAATCGTGACTAGCACTGGAAGGGAAAAAGCTACAGTTTGTAAAAACTATTGTGTATATATTGGTCACCATATACGTATTTGGATTGTCCAATGTAAAAATATCTGTAAAGGTAATATTTTCTATAGAGGTTAATTATTGAAGGGATAAGAATGGAAGGGCTTGTAAAACAAAAGAATATTTAAAAATCAATTAAAGTAATAATAAAATGTAGTAATGTGCCAAATGGAAGCAAACGCGAATAAAGGAGGAAGAAAATACAGAATTTGTAAAGAAAAGGAAGAAACGATCGTGTATAAAACTGTAAGGAATTAAAGAAACTTCCATGTGAAACAGAAGGAATACAAACTAGGAAAACATTTGGAGGTTTTTGAATATGGTAAATCTTATAAGAACGAATAAACAGTGAATATATGCATTAATACATAAACAATTATATTCGTAAATTAGGGCGAAAATTACATAGGGTAAGTGAATAATTTAAATAATTTTTTGTTAAGTCTTTATATTCAGTTTGATTAATTATAAAACAATTGCAAGTTATGCTTTAAGGGAATACCCCTTCCAAAAGCCACAAATCTAAGAAAGAAGTAATTTGACTGATTGAATACCCTGAAACCGGCATTGACGCCTGTTTCAAAAATTTGTACACTTAGTGACGAAAATATTCTGCTAAATATACCTGTTCTCAACAGGTAAGTTTTAGTATGATTACAGTATCTTATAAGAAACTAAGTGAGTTGTAGATGATTTTATCCATTTAAAGAATTTATTAATTTTGTTGTTTTTTTTTTTGTTACTGTGCTGATGAAAATCCTTACTTTAGTGTACAGGAACTAGTGGTGTTTGTCCTGACGTAAGGTTTGCTGGTAAAGAAGATGCCGTCCTTATAACGTGGCAACGAATAAACGGAATTCTTAAAGTGGTTTATAAAAGGCTACTAAAAACAGGTATATTCTATATACATTGTATAACAAATACGTTATGACTGAATAGGCTTTACAGTCTTTTTTTCCTGAAAAAAGGTGATAGATGAATCTCGTTTAAATACAACAATGTTCTAGAACTTTCGTTGATAAGCGTTCTGCAGAAGGTTTTACTTTTTTTTATATAATGTGAATTGTATTATATATACTTCACCTCTGTAGTTGAAATGAAAAGTAAAAATTCAGAAATTAGTTCTTGTTACTAGTAATAACATGTCTTTTATATCAGGAGACGCTCGAGATCAAGAAATACCATCCTCAGGTGGAATGACGATAGTAGCAGCTGTTGGAAACCTTAACTCTCAGATGGAAGCAGCCTACCATAGCCGTGCTTACTTGGAAGGTAAATAAAATTTTGGTTTCATATCAACAGTGGTATCAGGCTGCATAATAACTGCTGTAAGTCTTATAATGTTACCAAAAGTATTGGGAAGTACCTCTTGAGAAGGGTTGTGTAATACCATTGGATACATTTTTTTTTAAATCACAGGCTGAGCTCTATAACTTATTACGGCAGGGTACAGTTGGAGGAAACCACTTGAATATTAGTATAGAGGTCGACTCCAGTGACCTACAACTGTTACAAACCAAGCATGCCACAGACTGTCATCAAGGGATGTATGTTAGGCCTAACCAGACCGTGGACAAAAAAACATAGTGGACAAACAGCTCGGTGAACTGAGAAGCAACTCTAATAATTGCACTAATATAAACCGTATGTAGCAATACATCATAGGATTAACATGTAAAGTCAGTTATGATAGGTCTATTTCTAGCTGGGGATGTACTAACTATCCAATTACTTTTAGTATCATAGTGTTCACTGGACCCTAAGAGTAGTCTCTATTGGAAAAGTTGAGGCGTCTTAGAGATTATTATATCAAATAATATCTTGTTTGTTTAAGAAGATCCATTATTGGCCCCTAAATCAATATTTCTAACACTAAAACGCGTTTGTTTATTTCTTTTCCTTTTTTTTCTTGTTAAACCAATTAATTAATAAGACAGTTAACTTTAAACTGATGCTAGAAAACTTTGCTTCCGGTGATATCTTATTAAAAACATTACACTAATCGCGAGTTGTGAAACTGTGGTATTCCAAGGGTAGACGAAATACATGATCACCTGACTTTCGCGGATCTAAAACTTGAAAGGAAAAGTCTAGTGATCTGGTGCAGATGAAGTAAAAGAGATAAAAAATAAAGTGAAGCTGAATAAAAAAACGGTTTACTTTTTAGACGATTAGAGAAAAGTACAAAAAGGCTGGTCGTTTTGTGAAAATGATTATTGCATTGTTGTATTTGAAAGTAAAATGAAATGATTAAAGTTGAATGAAATAGACTGAAATTAACGAGTAAAGAAATAAGCTATATTTTAAAACCGATCGAGAACTGAAAGCATTGGTGATCTTAAAGAACAAGAGTCACATAGGGTAAGCGTAGTAAAGGTTAAACAAACATAGGGTAAGCGTAATAAAGATTAAAACAAACATAGGGTAAGCGTAGTAAAGAATAAAACAAACATAGGGTAAACGTAGTAAAGACTAAAAACAAACATAGGGTAAACGTAGTAAAGATTAAAACAATGTTTGCTTTGTGTATGTGTTGAAATTCGCGCAAAGCTACAGATGGGCTATGTGCCGTCCATAGTTTTAAAGTGGTAGATACAGTGAAGGCAGCTAGTCAACGTCATCCATCGTGAACTCTTGGGTTACTCTTTTATTAGGGAATAGTGGGATTGACCATCACATTATAACACTCTTAGAGACGAAAGGTGAGCATGTTCGGTGACAGGTTTCGACTCCGTGACCCGAGATTGCTAGCCGAGCGCTCTAACCATCAGGTCAAGCCAGTATTCATGAAACAAGAACGAAACTTGGCTCTTTCAACGTCAGAAAGAGATCAAAATGAAAAGTTAAAAACGGCTCCCATGATCAACGTTCTCTCTGTAGTTGGCTAGAATAGCACTGGATTACAAGTATATAAATAACACTGGATTACAAGTATATAAATAACACTGGATTACAAGTATATGGAAAAATCTCAACTTAATCTCAGTTGTCATATTATGTTTTCACCTCTTTAAAACTCTCTGAAGAAATTATACAAATTTTGGTCTAATATTAATAAATTAAGGCTTTGATATATTTATTGCCAGTGAAGCTTAAATCTACTCTAAAGTCTCAACATATTTATCTATATGAAAATGAATTAGTTGTTTTTAAGTACCGATATGCGTAAATAACATGAGTTTCTTGGTTATCTTCTTTCACGAACTTAAGGCTTCTTCTGTAAATCGATTATAAACGTTTACTTTTATTATTTATTGTTTTGAAAACCATTTATTAATGTGTGGTGTTTAAGAAAAATACTTGGAAAATTAACTCTTTTTTTTTTTTAAAAGATTTATAACATAAACCAATAACGTCTCTGTTAAGTAGATTTTGGAGCCCTAAAATCTATAAGTTTGAGCACAAAGAGGGATTAAAAGTCTACAGTTTCACAAATAGATTCTAAACAAGTTTGTTAATATTTTTACATTCACATACTTCGCAGTTTGAAGTTCTAACAGTCAACCTCTCTTTGGAACCGAATTTCTAGCTAAATATTCACTTAACTCTTAAAAAATGTAGTTTTTAATATTTCATGTCTGAGACAGTTATATATATATGTTATCCTCCTTAATCGTTCTGTAGTGATGTTCATATACGTGCGTTAAACTAATTATATTAATAAACCATGTTTATCTTACTAACACTAACACTAGTTTCCTATTTGTTTTTATCAACTACTTTTGCTCCATAGCATTTCATGTTTTAGAAGCTAAACTTCGTGGCTTGATCCCCGCTGCGGACACTGCACAGAATGCTTATTGTGTAGTTGTGCGCTAAAACGGACATTCCCCCCATTCATTCACTTTACTTTTCTCATTTGAACAACAAACCCCTCCCCCTGATCTAACTTTTACTTACAGTATATTACATTCAATTTGGCATGGTTGTGTGTTTCAAAAGTACCTATACACTTGAAAATTTTTGTTATAACTTTTACCTTGAATTTGAACTTACTTGAAAAGTATAAACTATAAATAGTACTATCGTTGTAACTTTGACTATTAAATAAGTTAATTTTTCTTAAACGTAAAACGTCTTTCAACTCTATTAAGTTTAACAAAAGGGAATCTTAAATAGCCACGGCACTTGAAATTCTTTTGGACAGCGTTAGAGTAAATTAATGTATGGGACCTTTTTTTTAAATTTTCATTAGGTATATTTTTGTGCACCAGCAGTATCAAGCGTGGGGTATACGTATACCCGATTCGATTTTATTACTCATGAGGATCTCTACCAGTCTACCTTTAAATTGAAACTCTTTTAAGCAGGATTAGAGTAAATTAATCTATGAGACCTTGGGCGTGGTCATATATATCAATCGGAAGGATTTGACCTCCTGTAATTAGATCTCAACTCAGTCAAGAGATGACGGAGCTATGAGCTAAAAGTTTTTACTTGAAAAAACAAAACAAACAAACTCAGAGCCATTCTATAAGCCGCTATGGGTAAAAATTATCGATTTGTTGTAAACCCGAATAACATGGAAAGTGTCAGAGATCAGAATGAAGATACGGTTGTAGTTATTTTGTGCTCCCACGATACTACCTAACTAAACTGCTTTAATTTTCTATAATGTAACATGTAATTGGAATTTTTAAAAGTATCACATTGACTGAATGTTTTTTTTATGAAGGATAATCAGAAATAACACGCGATTTTCTTTCTAGTATGCTTGATAAGCACATTGCAGTCGATAATTGATGGTGAATATTCAATATAAATCATTTATTTTTACGACAGAGAGCTTGCAGCACAATTATAAAATAAAGATGAGAGTTTTGAATAACTTGCTACAATTAACACCACACCTGCATTTTACTCATCGGGTATTATGACACTCATGTGACGTTCGAGAAAGTGCTTTGTACTTAACGGAGACCATGTTAAGAAGTGATGTCACAACTTTAACATCATTGTTACAAGTGTGTTGTCTGGGTATCTACGACTTCAACATCATTGATTCAGGTTTGTTGTCTGGGTGTCTACGACTTTAACATCATTGTTACAAGTGTGTTGTCTGTGTATCTACGACTTCAACATCATTGATTCAGGTTTGTTGTCTGGGTGTCTACGACTTCAACATCATTGATTCAGGTTTGTTGTCTGGGTGTCCATAGCTTGAACATCGTTGTTTCAGGTTTGTTGGTCTGGATGTCTACAGCTTGAACATCATTGTTTCAGGTTTGTTAGTCTGGATGTCCACAGCCTTAATATTACTGTTGCAGAGTTGTTGGTCTGGATGTCAACAGCTTCAAGATAATTGTGTTAGAGTTGTTGGTCTGGATGTCTACAGCTTGAACATCATTATTTCATTTTTGTTATCTGGATGTCCACAGCCTCAACATCACTATTTCAAGTTTGTTGTCTAAATATCCACAGCCTCAACATCATTGATTCAGGTTTGTTGTCTGGGTGTCCATAGCTTGAACATCGTTGTTTCAGGTTTGTTGTCTGGATGCACATAGCTTCAATATCATTATTTCAGGTTTGTTAGTCTGGATGTCCACAGCCTTAATATTATTGTTGCAGAGTTGTTGGTCTGGATGTCAACAGCTTCAAGATAATTGTATTAGGGTTGTTGGTCTGGATGTCCACAGCTTCAATATCATTATTTCATTTTTGTTGTATGGATGTCCACAGCCTCAACATTATTTTTTCAGGTTTGTTGGTCTGGATGTTCATAGCCTCAATATCATTATTTCGGGTTTGATATCTAGGTGTCCACAACCTCAACATCCAAAAATACTGGAAACATACGTAATTTGCAGCTTTTCTGTCAAAGCACGAGGAGGATGAGTTAACCTTGCTATTAATCCAAACTTGTTTCGAATTACAAGGACAGCACGTGAAAAACATTCTGTAGAGTTCATTGAAATGCCTAACAATCTATTAAAGAATATCAAAGAAATTTACCAGTTATATTTATTTATTTTTGTTGAGCACAAAGTTACAGAAAGGAATATTTGCTGTGCCTGCCACGGTTATCGAAACCCAGTTTTTAGCTTTATAAGTCTTCAGACTTATTGCTGAGCCACTGGGGGTCTTATCAGTTATATATAAACATATTTTATGTTCTAAACGACACGTAACAAAAGAGAAAACTGATATTGATTTAAAGTTATTTCATTCTTACAGATACTATCCGAATTGACTTTGGTCGGAATCCAGTCTCCAAATGTTCACTGCTAGAAGGTAAAATGGATAAAGACAAGAAGGATATGACGCCATGGAAGTCAGCAAAAATCTCTGGAGTAACAGAGTTTAGGGCACAGATCGGTCCTTCTGGAGGTGCCAAAGGTTATACAGCAATCACAGGTTAAAACAGTTTAGATAAGATTTTTAGTATAATTAACTGTAGCATAGAAAAAAGTCATAATATCTATTTATTAAAGAAAATAACCTGATGAATGATCTATACACCCATAAACATAACGTATATACATACAGACATACAACACATATACGTATATATATATATATATATAC